TCCTGCGCTCGCCCAGGTCATTGTCGTGTTCGACATGACGATCACCTGCCAACAGGTGAGGTGATCGTCGTGTTGAACACGACGATGAACGGCGGGGCGAGGTTAATTGAGGGCGAGCGCAAGACTGCCCTGCGGGTGATCGTCGTGTTGAACACGACGATCACCCGTAGGGCAGTCCTGCACTTGTCCTACGGGTCGCCCATGTCATTGTCGTGCTCGACACGACGATCACCTGCCAACAGGTGATCTGTCTTCGTGTTGAACAAGACAATGAGCTCCGGGCCGGGGTGAAAATCGTTCATTATCGTGTTGGACACAAAGATTAGCTGCGGGGCATCGTCGTGTTGAAACCGTCGGGCAGTTGTGGTTTACTTTCCCACACCGCAGCTCATCGTCGTGTTGAACACGACGATGAGCTGCGGGCCGGAAATCATTCGTTGTGTTGAACACGACAAATAGATGCGGGTTGTGTGTGTGCATTTGCTGATTTTTTCAATTTGGCGTGCAGGGCGTTTGCCGATCGCGATGGCAATCTCGGAGTGGATGACCTCGGGACTTTGGCGCGAACGCATTGTGTACCCTTTCCCCCCATGCTCGCTGCGTGTCTCCGGGCGTCGAGAGTTCACTGTCATTGACGGTGCGATGAGAAACAATTTCGAGAGTGATCCGTGGATGACGGTCGTTCCGTTCTACATCACTCCCGTCGACTTGTGGCAGGAGTTCGTTTGGGAGAAAATGGTCGAGGACTGCCCTTGGGCGGACGACTACAAATTCGCGAATATGTGCGAGTTCGAGAGTTTAATTCCTGTGCCCGCTGATGTGCTATGTTCAGTTCAGTGCCGTCACTTGAGTGCCACGCTGTTGTTTAACCGTCGCTACAATGTTTTGGACTGTAACGTCGTGACTACTTTACCGCGCACATGACCTTGTTCGCTGAAACACGAGTTGCTCGCCTGTGCAAACCATTCCGATTTGATCGACGCATACCCCTTGCGCTCTCCCGGGTTGTTGCCTCGAACGGTTCCGTATTGTTGCGTTGGACTGCGTCTTGGGAAGTGCTTTTGCTGTAGAGTCCTTCGCGTCGCGTGCTCGAATCGGGATGGGACCTTAACTGACGCTGTGGTCTACGTGTCCAAGAATGAATTGGACCTGGGTGACGAACAACATGTCCGGACTGTGGGGAGCGGTCAAGGGTCTGGTGGCCGTGGTCAAGGGTCTGGTGGTGGTCCGAGCGGTCGAGGGTCTGGTGGTGGTCAGCGGACCCGCACACAAGATACAGTGCAGCAGGCAGGTTCGGGGGAGAGGTCTGTGCATGGACAGGCAGATAAAGCTCCCGTCATAGACTACAAAGATAAATTCTGGATGTTGGACTGGGTGGGCGAGGCGGGGCAGGCTGGAAGTGGTTTGATGTTGTACGTGGTGTTCAAAGAAGATATTATACCGATAGGTGGTATTCAATCTTGGGCAGGAAGGGATGGTCAGCTCGCCACTTTCGAGTTAACTATGCAACTCAACGGCAAAGGCCACAGAGTTGCAGAGACGAACCATGTTGTTCTCATGTGGAGAAACCACAAGGGATATGGTAAGTCACTTGTGGATGTTTTAAATCCTGATCCGGATAGCAGACTCCGGTTACCTGACCTCCGCCAAGTTCTCGCGTTCTTCGACACGAATTCGGTGGAGGGCCATCGTCCGGTGGCCCACAAAGAAGACACTATTACGGAACCGAAAAGTGTTCTGTCATCGGCGCGTTCGACGTGGGTGCCATAACGATTCGGCAACCATCAATGACCACGTCCGCCGTCCGGGAAGAGAGACAGCACGCTCTCGTATCCACGTCGGTGGTCCCTCGAGCGGGACAAATCGCTGCCAAGGACCCAACTCATGCTCAGGCTCCGCCGCCGGCTCCGAAGAAATTCCGTTCGGTTGGAGTGAAAGAGCCGCTGTCCGTGTTACATGACATTGTGCGTACATCAAGCATGTGTGCCGAACCTATGTATGGTGCTATGCACCGTGGTGTGCAGCCTTTGTATTTCGGTGATCCGGGAGAGGGGAGCAGTGGCGAAGGTTCACAGAGGGAAGAGGAAGAGGAAGAGGAAGGTTCTCAAGAGGGGAATGATAGTGAGAATACAATTAGTGATCGAGAGCGTCGTGGATGGCAATCAAAGAAGATGGGCAGTGGCAATTTCGCTCCCACCGGCGTATGGCGCAATCACGATTTTATGCACATGCAGAAAATCAGATCCGGCTGCGGCTTGCTCGACTCAATCCAAATGTTTCTCCATCGAGAGTGGACATAAGGACGAACGAGGTTTCTTAGGAGCTCAAGGCATTGCGAAGACTTGAGTTCTTGAAAGAATTTTATGACAGACAAACAAGCCCGACATTTGGATATAACTGGCGCATTGATGAGGGCGACGTGACCGGTGGGAAAAGAGGACAAGGCCCTAGCGGTGGAGCGAGTGGAGAGGGAGGTGAACACCCAAGTGGTGACGAGGGCGGAGGTGACGAGGGAGGATGCGATAAGGGAGGTGATAAGGGAGGGATTGGTGAGGGTGGAGGAACATCTGAAGCACCTGGGTATAGTCTGCCAACAACAGACACATCAGAAGGGCAAGCCCATCGTCACCATGAGAGAAGCGCCAATGGTGTATGAGGGCACATCGACATTCGTGGTTTGCCGCAGGTCAAGTTGTCTACTGCAATGGAACAGGTTGACGAAGGATGTGAAGGTGGGCAAAGTGTCACCACAACACTCACAGCTGTCACAGTGACAGATAATGAATGGTGTGATGGCAGTGGCGCAAGTGTCTTCCCCGTTGGCGAGAAGGGCAATATTGGTAGCCCACAAGGCCATATGTGGATGTCTATGGATATTTTGCCATATGGGTTGGGAAGCCAAGGGCGGCTCAAGGCATCATTGGATGAAACCATGTATCTGGCGGAAACGGAACAGCAACTCGAGGCTCACACTCCACTTGATGAAGAGACACTCAGAGGCGACTTCGAGATTCCTACAGAATTTCAAAGTTCGATATCAGAGGAGAAGGCACAACGAGGGTCTCAGGAGGCGGGTACTGTAACAGGCTACCAGGAGGAAGCTATGCTTGCGGAGGAGATGGAACCGGGCGGCGAGCCTAACGGTCCATTTGATGAAGACATCCCTGGCAGCGACTTCGATACTGGTACTGGAGGGTCTCAGGATTTGCCTATTGTATTCGATACTGCTGGGAAAAATGACATTCTTGAGGGGCTTGAGGCAAAAGAAGCAATTCAAGTATCGGACATCGAAGAGGATGAAGAACATATTGTACTGACTACTCCAGAGCAACAGACACCTGTGGAGGAAGGACGAGAAAGTACACTTCGAACTCCTGTGCAGCAGTTCAGCCCATCTGTCAAAGTGATAAACATCGAAGAATCCCCTTTCACATCAAGACAGTTCAGAGATGCAAAAGAAGACGGTGCTCAAGGGAAAACTGCAGTTAGTCGCCGAGGTGAGCACTTACCTTACGAAGTTAATATATGCGTAATATTGTACTTAGAACGAGAGACAATTTTCCGGTTTTGCATGCTGTTGTGCATTGGAACTGTTCCATGTTTATTTGCATATATGTAGTGTGCCTTATAGTGCGTCCGAATCAGTAAATGAAGCACACGATCGACTTTTAATAGTTTGACTCACAATACTTTACTGCTATTAATATTCATTTACATTCATGTTGTTTTAGCGGATTTGTAATGATATCAAAATGATCGTTACTCATATTACTCGTTACAATCGGTGATGATTATGCTCTCTACATTGATGAACGTGCAGGTCTGCGTAAAGGACTGTGGAAAGCCCATCGCGTACACTCTCAAAGGAACAGTGATAAGAAAATTATACGTCGTGGTTCGCAAGCCTTGTCAACGCAGTCGTTGTTACCCAAAACAGTTAAAAGACGAGCGCAACCTGTGACGATCCTGTTTGTGAGGCCAACTGCTCTAAAGATGTTTAAAGCTGTGGGAATAGGGACGAAACAAGGGAAGAAATTGCCCCGTGAAGTTTGCACTGTATCTGTTGTGGAAAGCGGCAGCGACAACGAAGTTGGCAAATAAGCACCGTTATGAACTTCGTGTCCGCTTCTTATATCTATTTTCAGAAAGGCACTACTTGTATGGAAGTCTTAGACATACCGTTGTTGTTTACCTGTGTGTTTGTATGCAGTGTCTGACCAGTCGTTCAAGATTCCTCTATCAACGCAACCCCTCACTGAGGTCGAGATGCAGTATGTTGAAAGGGTTGTGAGGACCGGTGAAGAAAACGGACAATACAACATTGTGGTTCACAATGGTGACTGGAAGGTGGAAAAGAAAGACATTATGCTCATCATTGAAGCATGAGGACGGTTGAATGACGAAGCCATGAATTTGTATCTGCTGGCAATCCAGATCGACAATGATAATGCCAGAGAGAATTTGATGTCTAGAGGACAGATTAAAGACGAAAGTCTGAAGGACATTCCATCTGTGTATATTCTAGATTTTTTTTTCTATGTCAGGATGGCATCCGCGACGTCCAGAGAAATTGTTTACTGTGAGGGAATGAAGTGGGTTAGGGGAAGAAATATTTTCGATTATAACTTTGTAATTATCCCTTTGAACTTTTGAGACCACTGGGCTTTGGCATGTGTTAGAATAGACGGTTACAAGTGTGAATTCCAGCTATTAGACTCTCTCTTTCGCGACGACCCCCTCGCAGCGCTGGAAATAGTAGCCGTATTTTTTAGAATGAAGTTCAGACATCAGAATCTTCATGAAAGATATCAGGTCAACGAGCTTGCGACACCTTTCGAGACATCACTTGATGAGGTGCCTGTCCAACATGACGGTTGCAGTTGTGGTGTTTTTATGTTAGGTTTTGCATCTTTGCTAGCGAAAGGTCACTTTCCACCATTCGATTTCTCGCAAGAGAACATCCCGTATATGAGGCAAAGAATAGCATTTGACATTTTGTCGATGGTCAAGCATGAGTGAACATTCCAAATATGCAGAGTTCGATATCATTCAACACTTTGTTGATGGTTAGTCACAGTTTCAAGTGCTATGTGTCATTCGACACTTTGTTCATAGTTAAGAATAGTCTCAATAGTTTGTGTGTCATTGAACACTTTCTTGATGGTTAACAATTGTTTCTATGGTTCATATTGCTTTCCACAATTCTCAAATGTTATTGTGCAAATGACATATTGCTTTCCGGAATTTTCAAATTTTATTGTGCGAATGACGTATTTCTCAATTGCCAATGTTAAGTTCTCACCATTTCGCCTTGTTTCATCGTTATTTTCCTCATTTCTTCCTCTCTTATATGTGTTATTTTACACTTGAAAAAAAAGTGAACATGAAAATAATTTCACTTTTAACGAAAACACCGTTAGTTCTCCTGTGGGAGATAGCCCGCCTATCTCTACACCTGCAAAGAAAACGAATCAACGGACAGGTATGCGGCAGCTTCGATTCTCTGAGCGTCTGCAACGAACTAGGACACGAACTATACAGAAACATGTACGGGCGCCTCCACGTAAGGCGACATCGACCATTAAGCCACCAACTAGGAACGTCGCCATTGAGCGATTGATGTTCCTGGACCAGACAAGGCGAGAGCTAGCTACAACTGACTGCGATTTGCTTTGTGAGTTTTGTCGTGAGGAGGGCGTGACGTACACAACGGAAGTGCGAGTTATCTTTGACTTGGCCGATGCAAGGGCTCGGGTAAGGTTTGGTCGGGGAACTCACTCCGGAATGGACACATGTGACTTTGAAGGTGAGGACGAAGCAAAATCAGGTCCCGAAAGCTCGGGAAATGAGTCAGAGCAGTGAATGGGCCTGACCGATGATCAATTGTTGTGTATTAGCAATCTCGTGATTTCCTACCGCCTCTACTATGGTTGTTCGGACCATGACGTAGAGTACGTGTATATGCTACTTGTCGTTTACCTTGTGTTGCGTGAATGTTGTCGTTGGCTCCGGAAATGTATTGATGCTTGGCTTGATCCATTTTCCCCCTTACGCAATCCAGCTGTGTATATGTTATTTCCTCGCTGAAGTGTAAATCCCAGTATATCGGCCAAACCTCTAGGAAGCCAAGTACCCGATGGGCGGATGGAAAGAACACGTTTCCGTATGGAAAAGAAAGGGCAAATCAACGCACCTCTACCGATGGTGGTTGAGATTCGGCATCAAAACCTATGCCCTTATCCTGATTGATGCGGGGGAGGAGAATAATCTCCTGACCATCGAATCACTGTATATTAAGAGATGAAGTCCCTTCCTGAATACTGTCGGGTGCGAGGGTAAATCGAAAAAGCATAATGTACGAAGAGGAAAAAAGGAGAGGACACGAGGTGTTGGGGCACCTACGGCTGTTGAACCAAGAGGTTTCCGCCCTATCAAGGTCAAGTTAGAGGGTAGGGAAGCATGGACGATTCGGGTGTTTGAGCTTTTGAAGCAGCAGGATTCTGAGGGTTGTCGAGTGTTTAGCCTGGACTTTTGTGGTGGAAATTGTTGGGGTGATCGATGGCGTGTTTTACGAAAAGCCTTTGGAGGGATCGGGTTATTTCAAAGAATTTAAGGCCGAGTACGAGGGTGTGTTGTGCATGTGACCTACTTACGAAGATGGAAACCAAGGAATGAAAGTAACAAACCTTTCCTAATTTCCTTACTTAAGAACCCCAAACGTTATGAATCTCTGAAGAAATGAGACTTGCACTCCCTTCTGGTTTACTCTCATCTGTTAAGACTTTCGAACGAAAGTCCACACGTACTTATCTGAGACGCCTGATTTCACGGCGTATACGTGATGGTTTTGGCTTCAATCTGTCTGCAAATCTCGTTGTTCGCCTCTTGTATGATGATCGAGTGAAACTAGTGGAAGTAAGGGAATTAGTTACTGATAAGCTAGGTGGGTTATGCCTTCCTCTTTGTGTAAAGAAACGTGCACGATCTAAGATCCGTATCATTTGGACAAAATATCCGAGTGTTGCGGATTTATTATACAATCAACGCAAATTTGCTCGCGCTGAAGTGTCTGCCTGCGCATATGCAGGTCTTCCTTACCTACGGGTAAGAGGTCATGCGCAGTTTCGTTTGCACGAACTGGAGGGTGTGCCAACATTGTTGGGTAAGAATGTCCCCAAACCACCCAGGGTGGATCGTGTGCTCAGACTGGGGAAGGAATTAGAAGAGGCGTTTGATAACTGGCCGAGCAGCAAGATGCAGAAGGTGACATTTTCGATGAGTGATTTGGCGGTTTGTATACGGGATTAGCAGGAAGCTACTGTGTGTCTGGGGCAGGATGGAGTTCGGGAGTGGAAGAAGATGTTGGAGGGATTGGTGTTGGTTCCACTGGATCGGAATCCCGGAGTGACGATGGTAATGTGCCCTCGCCTGTACTTTGAAGTTATGATGAATCTGTTTATCCGAAGTGGGGGTTACTCTGTTGTAATTGGCAACGACAGTGAAATTTTCCAGAGTATGCAGGATGATTTGAAGAGTGCGAATCTGTGAGACTTTGCGAGATGGAACAAGAAAGGGACGTTCGGGCAAGCATATGCTTTGCCCAAACACAAGGACCCAAATCGGTTCCGACCGATCTGCCCATCCTTTCCTGAACCAACAACAAAAACTAGCAAAGCGGTTGCGAAAGCACTCAAGCACATGTTGTATACCATCCCTGCCAACTGGCACTTTAACTTGAAAGACGTCTCGCTCGTGACACAGAAAATCGAGGAGGGTAACCGTCGGATGAGCCAACTCGCTCCTAAAACCGTCGAATTGAGATCGTATGACATTAAAGACATGTTTAGTCTGTTACCCCATGAGGAGATCGTATGTGCGGTTAGTTGGCTACTGGACTACCATGCAGGTAAAGGAAAAATTCGTCAGGGTGAACACACGTGGACGAGGGGCGTCCTTCGGGCTGACGACAGGGTACGATCACTGGAGGAAGCTAGATTTGGTTGATATATACCGCTTTGTCAGATATGAGCTGTCGCACACCTACACTATGGCACTGACGATTTTGATGAAGCAAGAGGTGGGAATCCCTATGGGAAAAAATAGTAGCCCTCCCCTTGCTTGCATCATGTGTGCAAAAGCGGAATTTGACTTCCTAAAGAGCTTTGGGTAAGCAACAAAAGTTTGTCCATGAGATCCGTTTGATTGACGATGTGGGTGTTATTGTCGGGAGCAAAGACGGCAGTAACAAGGAAATCCTTACCTTGTTTGAGCATGCTTACCCAAGTAACCTCACACTAAAACGTACTGATGATGGTCCATGGATGGAGGTAATACCTGAGATTTCCGGGATTGCGAGGTTTGTTTGAACTGTCAGTACCCTTTCATGGAGTGTGTTCAGTTGTCAAAAAACGAGGCGACCATCTGGAATTTATGAATGGACGGTCCTTCATTTCTTGGGGAAGCAAAACACAAAAAAGTGCAGTTGTTAGCAGTTATCTGCATCGAATTGACAAGAATACGGCAATCCGCTCCAAGATCCCATGCAGAGTCGTGACAACGGTGACATTGAAAGAAAGAATTACGATTGAAGAATTTCCCTGGGAAGTTCTTTGACCGGGTCCTAAAAAGTTTCGCACATGGGCGAGGGGAGCCATGGCATTGGACCTGTGCCTTGGTAACAGCTGGCCAAACGGCCTATCTTGTCTGCCAGGCAGGTTGCTCAGACAGAGTCATCAACTGAAGAATCATGGATGAGGAGTAAGTCAATGTTGCAAATTTACTCTGACAAGGATTTTGCTTGAGAAACATGGAATTGAGATGCCTGGGTGGCTACTGTGGGATTGTGGACATGGCAATATAGTTTAGTGATTTCTGAGTTAGCTTTTTGAAGATTGGTAGATGTACGCTACTCAGACAGGGTTGTTTTTGTCTCTTGTTTTGTTTGTTTTTTTTTTTGTTTTTTTTTTGTTTTTTTGTTTTTATGTTTTTTGTTTTGAGGGACTGAGCTGCGTAGTTGGCTGCGTTGGATCTTGGTAATGAACAAGGTAGTGAGGAGTTTCGAACCTGGGCCCATTGTGAAACCGAAAGTTGACACCCGGGTCTGTTACTTGAACCGGCCACTGACCTGTGGCACAGAGGTGGCTCACCTGATTTTTTTAGCACTAGAGGCTGCAAGGAGTTTCGAACTTGGGCCTGTTTTTTGTTTTGTCCCTGGCCCGGACACTCGTTTTGTGTGTCGTGGTTTTGGCCGATTCTCTGGGCCCTGTGCCTTGGCCACTGACCGGTTTCCTTGACTATGGTCGAGGTCCCAGGTGAGGTGGACCTAATGAACAGGACTGGGAACATAAGAAAAATGATTGTGCAGTATTCTATCTCTTCCTTTCGCTAATTGGCTTTGGCCATTAGCGACAGATGGGTTAGTTAGACGCCAAGGTGGATCTTGGGTCGTTGGTATGTCCCGGTGGTTTCCGAGCTGAAAGAATTCTCAATCATTTCTGATACCTTGTGTCGTTTTCGCGCCTTGTCGTGTACTGCGTCTCAAGTTTGTCTATGAATGCGTCTGATGTCAGCGTGTTCTATGCGTTACTATATGTTCATAATTCCTGACAGTGTCTGAGCAAAAACATGACCTCTACAGATTGAGAAAAAACAAACAAACAAACAAACAAACAAACAAACAAACAAACAAATAATGACCGTACGTTGTATTCGGGGGAAGAAGGTGGACTCCGGGCTCAGTTGGACTACGTAGCTATTCTGTTACTAGGAAGAGGTGTCTGATCATCACCTGGAACTTTGTGTACAAGGTTCATGTGGAGGAGAACATCCTGCAAGGGTGAGATGAATAGGAGTAGTACTCCGCACCTGAGTCTGGCACAGTGTCACCTTGGGTGGGGAGCTAATTATACTCACTGCGAGGAAGGAAGAGGCAAGAAACCACGCCCTTACGGTGACAACCACCATAGGACATGGGCTCTCCTGAAAGGGAAACCAAAAAGTCAGTCACATACACAAAAAAAAGCAATACAGTCAGTTTATTTCAGGTCAGTTTTTTTTTTTTTTTTTTTTTTTTTTTTTTKACTGAACTTTKTATACGGAAAACTTACTTAACGAGGTGATAAGAGCATCCCCGGTAAGTAGGCCCCGACGTCAAAGGCTCCATCTATTGGTGGGGAGCTACACCTGCTGGAAATCAGGTCCAGCGTCCCTGTACAATGATGAAAATGTATCTGCTGGAAATCAGGTCCAGCGTCTGTGTGCAATGGTGTGAAGGTATGTGTTGGAAAAGGGGTCCAACATCCCTATCCATCTGATCTATAGAATCTCCAAAACAAACTGAGGCATCAATCCAATCAGACTAAACCCTAACCATGATGTGATGTGTATTACAATGATATGATTTGTATCTGCTGGAAATTGGGTCCAGCGTCCCTATACCGTATTGTGTAACTATGCCCAACAGTCAGAAACTGTCTATATATGTCTTCATTTTATATCTATCAAAATCTAATCACAAAACCCTAAGCACGATATGATGTATATGATCTTTGTCAATCAATCCTAAAAGAAAAGCTCTATCAATGGTGAGAGATGTATGATCTGGACGTAAAGTCCAGTATCCAATATGCATTATCATGTGAACCTGTCAGGGGGCATTGATTACTTCCCTGCGCAGGGAAGGATTGACCTCCTGCTAACTTATCCCTAAACAGCCCACCGCCAACCAACGGGACGATCAGCCCCCATTGATGATTGATATTGCAGGCCGGGCAACATCAATCACCACCAGCTATCCTACTCCTATCCTCTGCCGAACCATGAGGAGGAATTCCGTATTGAGGATGGAGGGGGGGGGGGGAAGCAGTAAACCACGTCTCCATATCAACCCCATATCCCACCACCTCCGCTTGCAGCATCACTCCCATCGCGCTGATGATAATCTCAGATGCACTGCCGCTTCCTACGCCGCTGCTCCCTTGGTCGTCGCCGCCGTTGTTGTTGTTGTTGCTGCTGTTGTTGTTATTGTTGTTGCTGTTGTTGTTATTGTTGTTGTCGTCGTCGTCATCACTATCGTTGAGGGGGGGGAAGATAGCAAACCCCTTTTCCGTACCAACCCCAATCTCCCCTACGTCCGGTTGCGGCATCTCCCCCATCATGTCGATGATGATCACAGCTGCACGAACACCACTGTCAACCCCGCTGCTTCCGTAGTCGTCACTGCTGTCGTCGTCGTCATTGCTGTTGATATTACCGTTGTTGTTGTTGTTGTTGTTGATGTTATTGTTGCTGTTATCATTGTTGCTGTTGTTGTTGCCGCACCCATTTTTGTTGTGGCACGCAAGTTTGTCGCTGTCCTTGATGCCGCTGTAATTGATGTTGTTGCTATTGTTGGTGTTGTCACCGCAATCATATTCGCCGTCCTCCAAACCACCCTCCAACCCGTCGTCCTTGTCACCCTTGTCGCCCATATCACCCATCTCGCCATTTCTCTGTCGATTCTCCAGCTGATTGCGTAGATTGTGCCCCAGTGTAAAGAGGGTTTTGCAAGCACCCATCCTATCATCTGCTAGCCTTTTGTCGATGTAGCTATCGAGCCAGGGATTCGACCCCTCCTCCAACTCCCACATGATGTCTAGCATCTCCAGAGTCCTGTCTTCCAACCACTGATCCATCAAGATCGCGCCCCCATCGATCTCCACCCCTTCCTGCTGCCGCAGCATAAGCACCCCCACTATCGTCTACAGCTGCTTGCATCCCTCCTCCAGTGTAGTCATCCATTCTTCCGCTCGATGTTGTAGCTCCCCCACCGAATCCATCTCTTCCCCCATTAGCTGCTCCACTCACACGGTTCTTCTGAACCCCTTGTGATCCCACGGCTGGCGCTACCCCGACTGACGTGTCACGGGATGTCTACGTCTCCAAACAACAGGTGCCACGTGGCAACAAGCCACTTCGCACCTATCGGGCACATGCGCAGGCCCAGCAGCCGGGGGAGTTGTTCTCCCCAGGCGCTAGTCGAGCCGGGGCGACCAGGCCCTACCGGTCCACCGGCATCGGGGCGCTAGCGCTAGCGCATCCCCCACCCTACATATGCACGCCATGGCACAAATGATACGCTAGGTTAGGGTTCCGCCGCGTGGCCAGCACAGTGTGAGATTCTCTTGCGGGAGGGCCGTTTCTTATGACGCATAGGAATTACTGACTGGTGGGTGAGGCTGCTAAATGCTTAATATACAGATGTTCTCTTCTTTTTCCGCCGTGATGGGAGACGTATTGGTTCGACCGATAGGAGCACCATGACAACACGAAGGAAGAAAGAAGAGAGAAGGCTACATCGAAAGGCATTGTCCTGCTTCGCATATGAAATCGTGCAACAAGAAAGTAAATCCACACATCAAAGAACTTTCAAGTTCACGCAACGTCCCAAAAAGAGGGAAAAAAAGTTCATTCATCATTCATATTCATCATTCTGAACCACCACCTTCTGCTCCGTGACCCATCCATGCTTTACGTATTTTAAGGCACTCAAGGCTTCTCGGCCCGATAATCACTCTGGTTGTGGCAAAAAAGTAAGCATTGAGATGGACAGGCTGCAGGAATGTAAGCAATAGTGATCACGCAAGATCCACCCGTGCAAGGCGGTACGGGCCCGAGAACAGTCCACTATTAGCAGCACCAAAGATGTAAGTGAGGAGAGCAGAAAAAACGAGTTGTGAGAATGGGAAACATAAGTCCCATGAAAACAAAAAAACATGATCCCCACTACACTGACCCGTTTCGGGGAAGATTCACACAGAGATCTGCGCTGCGGCAAGGTCTAGTGAGAATGCGTTCACGCCTTTCACGCGTCTCGACTACGTGACAGCAAGTTGAAGCGCACGCATAGCAAGGCAAGAATGCATGACGTGAACCGCTTACGCCCTAGCGAAGGTAGGAAGATGGGGGAATATAATGAGAGTTTTCAGCAGGATTACCTCCATGGAAGGGAGGTTTTCTGACTGAACGCGTCATCGGCAGAAGATAGCCACGTCAGGTACTTGGGATCGGATGCAACATCTCCCTTGACGTTGATGTCGAAGGAGGGGCTAGATGGGAACAGGGGAGTGCGATGCTACTCCGACTGTGCATTCATCTGGGGTGGCGTGGTGACAATGGACTAATAGGGGAGTGAGTGCAGAACTAAGGCAACGATCACAAAATGAGGTATGCAGAAATACGACATTATTTTCAAGGTAAGCCTCCATATTACATGTGATTACCAAGGAAACGAGATTGGGAGGTATTGATGACCCTTGATTGAAGACATCGGTATTACGAGTGATTACTATGGAAATGACACTGGAAGGTATTGTTGTGTCTTCATAATATCAGGGTTGGGCTGCTATTTACATTGACAAAAGAAAGAAGATGAAGATGTACAGAGGAGGAAGTTGTCAGTGAGCAAATGACCGATGAGGATGATTGAACTCCCATCGTGATTGTCTTCAACATGGTGTTTCCTTTCTCTTATTATCTTCAATAGGGAATGACAAGTCAACATTGCTCGATAGTAGGGTAAATGGGAAAGCACATTGCCGGAATCGATACAGGTAGAAGTGAATAGGGAGATGAACAAACACGGGGGTTTCTTTTTTTATGATAATGGCCGATTGGAAAATGACATTACGAGTGTCAGATTGAGAGGTATTGAAGAGCCTTGGTTGAAGGCCTCGGTATTAAGTGTGATTAACATTGTTGTATATTACTAGCATGATGTGCCGAGGACGAAACGGACAACACACAAATGACCGATGAGGATGATTGAACTCCCATGATGGCGATTGCCTTCTGCATGGTAATTTCTTAATATCTTCATAGGAGAAAGGCGACTGAACATTGCTATATACATTGGAAGAATGTGAATGGGGAAATGAACGAATAAGACGTTTCTATTGATGGGATGATAAGGCAAAAGGAGCTTTCTCAGATTGACATTTGCAAAGGAAAGAAGATGATGATGTGTCGAGAATGAAACGGCCAGCGCGCAAGGTAATTTCTCAATATCTGCATTCGGGAAAGGCGAGTGAACATTGCTATATATATTGTGGAGAATGTGAATGGGGAGGTGAACGAATCGGGCGTCTATATTGATGGGATGATAAAGCAAACGGAGTTTTTTTTCCAGTCAAATTACTCTCATTCTCTTCAGTAGGGAGTTGTGAGTGTAGGGGGATCGAAGGCTTGCAAGGGGTAAGCGAAGGCATGTCGCAACATTGCTAGACATTGACGAAGAGAGGAAAACAGATCGCATGATTTGACTTACGTCATCACGTTCAAGGAATTGCGAGTTGATTAGGATTGTAGGCTTGCACTTTTTGGTATATGTTGGGGTAAAACTTTCGCTCGCATTCTCGATCTACTCTGGGGCATTTCGGTCTACTCTGGAAAAAAGGAAGCACATCGAGGTAGAGGGATAAGAATGAACAAATTAGGTAAATTGAGCTTCCACATTGATCGCATTGGAGCTGATTGCTGGGATCACCTTTTGAGACATGTGGTATACATGAAGAATTTTTTCATCCGCTGATTGTTTGATCGGGGTACACGGTTTGTTATAACATTTTCATCACGACGAATGTCTCGCTAAGTTACATTGTGTACGGTGCGTTACACAGAGAGAGAGAGAGAGAGAGTGAGAAAGGAAGCAAAGTGATGTATTCGTTTGTCAAGGAATACGGTATACATGTGAGGTGGAAGGAACGGAAAATCGCCGATATGATTAGTTCTTATTGAAGATATTTGCATCGGGATAAACGGTTCGCCATTTGCATCTTCATCACTACGAATGCCACGATAAGTTACAGTGGGTACGACGCGTCACAGAGAGAGAAAGGGAGTGGAAAGAGAGAGAGAGAGAAAGGGAGAGAGAGAAAGTGAAAGAGAAAGAGAGAGAGAGGTGGGAGAAAGAGGGAGAGAGGGAGAGAGGGGAGAGGAAGAGAGTGAAGGAGAGAGAGAGAGGAAAGAGAGAGAAGGAGAGGGAGAGAAGGAGAGAAGGAAAGAGGGAGGAGGAGTAAGGGAGGAGCAAACAAACGTTACCAACTGAAGGTTAGCCTGGGAAGGGTTGGTTCTTCTCTCATCCTCTCCCTGACGACCCCCCCTTTTTTTCTACGGTATACATGTGAGGTGGAAGGAACGGAAAATCGCCGATATGATGAGTTCTTATTGAAGATATTTGCATCGGGATAAACGGTTCGCCATTTGCATCTTCATCACGACGAATGCCACGATAAATTACAGTGGGTACGGCGCGTCACAGAGAGAGAAAGGGAGTGGAAAGAGAGAGAGAGAGAGAAAGGGAGAGAAAGAAAGTGAAAGAGAAAGAGAGAGAGAGGTGGGAGAAAGAGGGAGAGAGGGAGAGAGGGGAGAGGGAGAGAGTGAAGGAGAGAGAGAGTAAAGAGAGAGAAGGAGAGGGGGAGAAGGAGAGAAGGAAAGAGGGAGGAGGAGTAAGGGAGGAACAAACAGACGTCACCAACTGAAGGTTAGCCTGGGAAGGGTTGGTTCTTCTCTCATCCTCTCCCTGACGACCCCCCCTTTTTTTCTCTATCTGCATCAAAAAAAAAAAAAAAAAAATTATATACCTAAGCATCAATAAACAAAGAACAAAAGGAATACAATTAAGTCAAGATGCCGCATATAGTACATCAGCAGCATAGCCACCGGATCAAGAGATTGACATGATTATTCAGAGGAGCTATGAGACAATTAACAGCAAGGCAGCTGCATACACCGGTTGGGGCCGTATTGGCGGAAAGACAGATGCAAGGAAAAGAGAGCAAGGAAAATACAGCAGAAGAATAAATGATGGAAGAAGAAATCCTCACGACGGAGGAACAAAAGGAAAAGAAAGGTCACAAAGAAAGTCTGATCCAGGATATGAAACAAGACTTTGCGAGTGAGGACCACAAGGAACAGCAGGGAGGAGTGATCATCAATCCTTTTTTCAACCAACAGGAGGTGGGGGAAAAAGAGACACTGGAGGTACTATCATTAGCAGGTCCCACACAACAAATGGAGGAATCAGAAATGAGAGAGGTGGTTGGACAAGGTAATAGACCAAGCCTGAATTACAGACAGCAAAGGCTGTCAATATCAACACAATTCCCAAGAGGCAGCAGAGGGAGTATGTTATTTCAAGCAGGTGCCTCGCAGGGTAGAGTACAAGAATGGAGAAAGGAAACTGGAGGAACACTAAGTGGAGGAAAGTACGGAGGAGGGGAAGGGATAGAAGGAAAGACGAAGGGGGAAGGCAGAGGCAAGGAAGAGGAAGGTAAAAGGGATTCGTCTCAAGAACAAATAGAGAATCAGGAGGGGTCACAGACAACTCAAGACAAGGCGCATCAGAAAGACGAAATTTCTCCTTGGATACAATGCGTGAGAGGGAGTCTTCTAACCAAAGAACTAGAAGTTAAAAGGCAAGGGGAGCAAAATCAGTCATTAAAAATACCCTTGCGTAATCTTCCCACATCAAAGGCATTTTTTCTCTCTAAATTCATTATCTCTTCAGAGAATCGGGTAATTGATTTAGGGGGAAAAAAATCGTTAATTAAAGCATATCCGTCACATAAATTGGAAGAAAGGGATTTAATATACTCGGCACATGCAAACAATTGGGTGTTCCACGACGATTCAACATACAAATCCACTAACGAAAAAATTAAATGGATTTGTAAAAGGTTGTCAGCATACAAAGGAAGTTACGAAGCAGTGTGCCAAAATTTTCTAATTCTTTCGATTTCGTCAGTTATTTTCACAGTTTTATGTTTACATATCTCAGATAAAAAGACAATTGAAGGTTGGCGCAATTTGAGATGTGAAAGATCAGAAGTTAGAATTTA